TCGAAAATAAAATAAATAGTATACATAGAGAAAAAAAAAAGAAAGCTCATGGGGGTGAAGGTTGAAATATGGGTGTCAATAAGAAAACCAACATGGGCCTTAAGCCCAACATAATGCAGAATTTTAAATGAACCAAAAAACAGGTCTGCCAAATAGAAGGAGAGGGTGATAACCTAGAAGCAACTTGGGCCTCATGGTCTCATTAACCCAATAGCCATGTGTTCACTCTCCTGGATCTGTAACACGGCTACCATGACTATCACAGATGGATGAATCCTTTGAGAAACGTGGCAACACTATCCAAAGAATATACAACGCTCAGAAGAGAAAACTAGGCTTCCTCTTCATCATCGCGAAGAACACGATTTAACGCAAGGAACAAGGAACAAAACAAATGTCAAATACACATCGATCTGGCCTTAAACCGTCTTTGCCACTTCGAAGAATCGTTTTCTAGGTACATCCATTTTTGTTCCAGGTATCAAAACAATTTCACTCTCCTCTGTCTCATTTCTGGTTTGGATTTATTTGGGTTTGACGAAGAAGATTGGGTTAAGGATATTTGTGGTTGTTTCGGTTGTGAAGGGTTTTGGGTTGAGAATGAATCGAAGGATTTGAAGATTTGAGGGGCATTCTGGGCAAGAGAAAGGGTTGGTTGAGATTTTCTGTTGTGCGGAAGGTTGATGGAAGGAGGATTAGTAGTTGTTGAAGATAAATTCGAAGTAATATGGTGAGGGGTGTGTTGTTGTTCGAAAATGGGGTAACAGATGAAGGGCGGCGACGGATTATGGTGAAAAGGATTTAGGGTTTATTCTGGGGATCTTGGTGAAGATTGTGGAGAAATATATGATAGGAGGAGAAAATTAGGGATTTGTGATTGGAAGAGGAAAATAGATAGTTTGGAGAGAGAGACGCGAAGAGAGTTTTTTTTTTAGATGTTGTGATTTTTGGAAGAACAGAAGTGAGAGGAAGGTTGTGGGTGAGTTGGAAGAAGGTTTTTTTTCAGAACATGGAGGAAGAAGAACAATGAAAGAGAGGAAGAAAAACCACCGGTTAGGGTTTCTTTTTTGTTCTTAGAGAAAGTTCTCATTTTATATAGGGGAATCTCTTGGAGAGAAGGTATCAATGTTGAGCTGGATATCAAGGCCTTTGTGTCTAGACATATACAAAGAGTAAGATGCAACCTTTTACCGCTGTGAATGTTACTAATTTTCTGCTGCCTTCTTGCTTTTTTACAGGCTGTAAATGACAAGAGTTTCAATTGTGGTATTATGCCCGTTTATGGTTTGTGCAGACCTATTTTCCTCATTCTCTTTCTCACTGTCATGATTTGAAGAGATTTTATTGGTGTAACATTGGTCTTGTGTGGTCTTGTGTAGGAGATATGTTGTGTTTTGGGTGGTTTGTGACAGATGAGTGGGCATCGTGCACGACGTATCGAACAACATCAAAAGAATGTTGCAACTGGTATTTCATTTCATCATTTTTCTTATTTTGCCGTATTGCTGCCGATTGATTTCAAATCATAATTGTTGTTGTTGCCTGTGCAGGTGGATCATGAGCTAATGCAGGAGCCGAGTTGGTGTCGGTTTGAGGTGTACTGAAGGCACGCTTTGCAGTTGAGGGAAATTACATGATGGCTTGCATCTGAAGGTGGCTTCTGTGTTTTTCGGGTTACGGCCTTTTCTATGGTTTTCTTTGTTAGAGATTCCTACCAAGTTTGTGTATGAAGCTGATGAGAGTAACACCATCAAATACAGGTATTGTTCGTGCCTTGCTCTTTAGGTATCAGTAATTGACTAAACCATTTCCTTAAGCTTTATGAAATTCTGAAAATGGTTATAATGCAGATGTTCATGACATACCAAGCTCACGCAAAAGGGGATGATATTAGGGTCCTGTCAACTTTGACTTTACTATCTTCCATTGATACTAAAGACCTTGCTCATGATTTTATCTTGAAGAAACTATCCTGAAGGGATTCCACATTTCATTCTCGACGTTGCGGTGTATCCGAATTACTCAACTTTCCGGCCCAACATACATTCTCATGATGTGGTTGTTAATTTTGAGATACCAATACATTGCTAGTATAAAGCTGCCAGTTTTAGTTAATCCTGGTCTGTCACAGGTTTGCTGCTTCAATTGCATTTACGGAAGTTGGTCACAAAGTGATGTTTAACCTGTGGCTGGTCCGCATAATGATCTGCGGAGAGAGCTGCGATACGGTACGTGTTACATTCCTCATCCTTGTTGCCTTAGTATCTTGCTCACAATTTCCATTTAATAATGTTTCCTTTCATTGCGACTTGTGAGCTGTGGCAGTTTCGACCATGTTGCTGACACGGTAGCCCTCTTTTGACTTAACAGGTTATTTCCTCTTACCTTCTGTGAATACCTTAAACGCGTAGCTGGGTAGAACCCGTTCTTTGTAATCCCTACGTTTCGTCTCAGGTGCTTTTATCGAAAACATGCCAATTTGGTCTTACATCATTATACTTTGAAGAATTTTATTGTTATTATGTCTGATGGATGATTTCTGTGAAGCAGGCAAGGTGTGAGCACCATACTCGTAGCTACCATCGTGTTTTACTTACCTCAGATTAGTGTGGTCGAGACAATTGGCTTGTTTTTCCTACCAAGAGAGGAACAATGATGGCCTCTCATTAGCCACAGTATGCTTCTTTCAGTTTGAAATCTGTTTTATTGGACTTCACAACTTCCTCAGCTGATTCTCTTAATTTTTCACATTCTGATATGGTTAAGAATTAACATAATATCCTGCATTGTCTTACTCAGGCAGCTCTACATAAGTTTCACTATATACCTTAACCGAGTCTACATGTGATACAATCTCAACCCGAGGTGCTGCTAGCTCAAAGAAACAATACCATTGAATGCAAGTGCTTCATTTCTGCACCGACTGAATTTCTAATGCGGGTTTGGTCTTGATACCTGAAGCATGCTTGCAAGCTTACTCCAACTTCCAGTAATGCTGACCGACCATCTCCGGTGTAATAGTTAGCCTTGTTTCTAATTTTTCCATGCATACATATTCTCCTGTAACCTGCTGTTGTTTATTTCCCCTAATATGTCGTTTCGATTTTGACACTTTTGATGTCGTACATGATGTACATTCTGGAGAAGGGCTTTGAACAGTGTATGAATGCCGCTGCCGACAATTCCATTCGAAAACCAGTTGAGAGATGCGTTGAGACTTCTTTTATTCGGCAGGACACGCTATAGCTGCTGTTACGCCCTATTCTAGTCTTGTCCACTTTTCTATTTTTTTTAAAAACTTGTAGGGACCCTCACGATGGTTGGTATTTGGTGCGTTGTGGATGTACGAATTGTCAGCTATTTTGTGTTGTACATTGCGGGTACAAGTTTTAGAAGTTGCAGGAAATTTTAGTGAGAAAGAAAAAAAGAAGGTTAATGCAACTCAATGGATTATGCGCTCCGCACTATGACAGTTGTATTTTCAGGAGTAGGCAAGCAAGGTTATTGGGCTGTTGTACTGTCGGTGATTTGTCTTATGCGAACAACCCTTGTGTAATTTTGAAAATGTGTTTTTTCTTTAATTTAAAACCATCTCTCCTTGTCACTTTGTGTATATGGCTTCCTTGTCATGTGAAATAAGTTTGGACTTCAGTTTTCGAGGGATGGTAATCACTAAAGATAAAAACAAATGAATTGATGATAGTATCTTTAGACTCGTTCTCGTGTAGGCCACCATCTCGTGAACATCATGACACATATTTCTCTCTAAACTAACCTCATAATATAACCTATGAAAGGACATTTCTCATGCTTGAAACAACTATATGACATGTGAAGCACACAACTTGCATTTGTAACTTGATTGGAATAACATCTTTGAATTCACAAATAACTTGATGATGAAATTCCTATATGAATTCAAAAACCAAAGTCCTCTTCACTTAACTTCTCACTTGAAAATGAATGACACTCGAACGAGCCCAGAAAAAGTCATAATTCCAAATTGGCCGTGAATAAAATTGAAAGAAACACAATAATAAATCCACCTTCAAACTTGAGATTAAATAGGGAGTGAAATCGCATTTCCATGAACCAAAACCTCATTGCCTTGAAACCAAGGGATAATGCCTTCAAATATGCACTGTATTGAAAAAAATCTGCAAAAATTAGCTTCAACCAGGTGGCCTGAACCATTCCTCATTCAACATTGCCCACACGTCTAACCTGACATCCTCGAGTGAAAATAACAACATATTTTTGGACTTTTTGAATAAAGCAATGGGTAAATATACAGAATGGAGGTTGTACAAATGTAGGACAAATTTGGGATATGACACGGGCTAAGTAAAAAATACCTAATTTTACGACATTTCTTTAGTACTCACAAATACCTTGAGATATCTTATCATAATAACTTAAATCAAGTAGTTGCAAATTGGGGAAAATGGAAGCAAATATTATAACGCTTTCATCACTTAGCCATGTATTGTTAGCCAAACATAGAGTCTCTAATTGAGGGCTTAGAACCATTAAAGAATTAGAATTATCCACGCTCTTTTCCCACCAACGTGGATATGGGCATTCCATTTTGATATTGCTAAGTGAAGGATAGCTCAGGAGGATGGCAAACAAATTTGAACAATTGTCTTTTTTATTGGTAAAATGTAAAGATCTAAAATTTGGTCTCTCACGGAGAGAAGAAACAATACCAGAATTGGTGATGTTAAGACAATCATATATGATGGCCTCTTGAAGAAACTTGTAGTTGTAGAACAAGTGGAAAAGACATTCGTCGGTCATGTAACGATGACTAGAGAGATTAATCTTTCCAAGTTTGGAATGTGCCAATAAAAGAGTATTTATCCCATCAATGAAGTTATCTTCAGAGTTGGATGTTGCAATTGTGCCGAGATTGAGTTCTTCGAGCAAAGGAAAACAATCGGCAGTTAGTAACATGTCAGAGCTCCTTATAGAATTCATCTGGGAACAATTGAGAGATGTCAAAGTAGTAACATTTCCAGAGAAAGCTCGCAACCCATCTGCAGGAATGATTTTTGGTTGGAGAGATCGAGGGATTTGAGTTTCAAAGAGAAACTAGAGATTTGATGAAGAAACGTGTTGCGATCACCGTTGAAGGCATTGGGATCACGGTAGAAGGAACGGTTGAGTTTGAGGGATGTGATATTGGGAAATCTCTGAAATAGAAGATGGATGAACGAAAGTATTTTTGAGCCAACAGCGGCGGAGAATCGGAGACGGTTGGTGATGGAGAGGAACTGTTTGGAAACTAGGGAGAGAGAGTTGAGGTAGCAATTGTATTTGTCGTCTTCATGGTTGTTGAGGAATTTGAAAACACATTCCCAACAGTCATCAGGTAAATATAGATCTCCCGCCGCCATTATGTTTTCCGGTACATGTTAGTCCGGCCGACCACGATAATGATAGTAGCGCGATTAAGGATGGACATATTTTAGAGTTTACGTCATTAGGAGTTAGGTTGGAAAGATTGAATATATATATATATATATATATATATATATATATATATATATATATATATATATATATATATATATATATATATATATATATATATATATATATATATATATATATATATATATTAATTCATAGATTTCAAAATTTAATTTATTAAAAGAAAATCTATTATACCCATAAATAAATTAAAAATATATTTATTTAAATGAAAAAAAAAATTTGTAACCAGTGATTTTGGATAAATATTAACCTCAAAGCATTCTATTTAAGGCACCAAGAAAAGATAAAATTAAGAGTGAAGAAGAAAATAGATGACTAAAAATACTACTAACCCGAATTCCGTTTTATGAGTTTTAACTTTAATTATATCTATCTAAATAAAAAATCATTTAAATTATTAATTAATTTCATATCATTTATAAAATAAATTAAAAAAGTTTAAGAGCTTAATTGTTAATTTATTTATTTAAACATAAGTTAATACAAAATTTAATAACATATATTGTTACTTTTGAAAATACTTTATTCAAGTTCTACCTTAAACCTTCAATTGTATTAGACCAGCCTATCAGGGATACAAAGACATGCAAAATTAGTTTTAACCCTATCATACAATAAAAAATAGAGTATTTAAAATTTATTTTTTAAGAATTGTTTTGGAATGTAGAATTATTGAAAGAGTTTTGTTTTTAAAAAAATAGGTTATTTAATTAAAAAATGAAAAATTTTATTTAGATAAAAAATTTAAAAATTATATTTGTTAGATAGAAAAGCCTAAAATTTGGTGATAGTTAGGAATGTGATATTGGGAAATCTCTGAAATAAAAGATGGATGAACGAGAGTATTTTTGAGCCAACAGCGGCGGAGAATCGGAGACGGTTGGTGATGGAGAGGAACTGTTTGGAAACTAGGGAGAGAGAGTTGAGGTAGCGGTTGTATTTGTCGTCTTCATGGTTGTTGAGGAATTTGAAGAGACATTCCCAACAGCCATCAGGTAAATATAGATCTCCTGCCGCCATTATGTTTTCCGGTGCATGTTACTCCGTCCGACGACGATAATGGTAGTAGCGCGATTAAGGATGGACAGATTTTAGGGCTTACGTCATTAGGAGTTAGGTTGGAAAGATTGAAAATATATATATATATATATATATATATATATATATATATATATATATATATATATATATATATATATATATATATATATATATATATATATATATATATATATATATATATATATATTAATTCATAGATTTCAAAATTTAATTTATTAAAACAAAATCTATTATACCCATAAATAAATTAAAAATATATTTGAAATCACTTTGGGAGGAGCAAGCATATTGAGATGAGGTTTTACTACTCAAGGAGCTTGTTAGTGAAGGAAATTGTTAGCGAAGGAAAGTTAAGATTGAGATATTGTAGAAGTGAAGGAAAGTTAAGATTGAGATATTGTAGAAGTGATTGATTTCTTGACTAAGAGAGTGACAAATGATGTGTTCAAAAGGTTGAAGATGAACATGGATATGAAAAATTTGAAGTACTTGAATTAAGGTGGTGCTTTAAGAATTTTTAAGTAATTCAAGTGTTGTTACCGATCAACACGGGTGTGTAACCGGTTAAAAGGTGTCAAAGAAAGTATTTCTGTAGTTGGTGTAATCAGTTATGCATCGGCAATAACTGATTACCACTGTTAGTTAATTTTAATTTGTTTCAGTTGTAACCGATTACAAATTTTGTATAACCGCTTACATGTCGAGTTTTTGGCTTTTCTATTGTTGTTTTGTATTTCAATCACATGTATAAATTTCTTGGAGACATCTTTATCCTATGTTAATGAAATGTGAAAATATTGTTACCCACAATCAATTTTTCTCTTCCTCTCCCATTCTAATTTATCCATTATTCAGTGTGCTTTCAAGTTCTAACAGTAACAAAATCATCAAAACTCAGCAAATAAACGGTGGATTCCCTGCCAATCACTGTGAAGGAGAAATCAATAGCTGATGAGAATCCGAAGATGACGCGGTTGCAGAGTTGTGCTCGCCGTAGAAAATTATTTTGAGAGCAACATTGAAGCTCTAATCCATCTTTCAATCTCGTCTTCAAGATCCTTCAACAGCATATTGTTAACTTCGTCCATGCGTAACTTCTATGCATTAGGAAATTGTTTAAGCATTCTGTACGACAATTGTTTTACACATCAGAAAAATCTTTCTCAAATCCAGCATTTATCATAATCTTTGATGTTTCCTCAAGGCCTTTGATGGTTTTTTGCTTCAGTGCATCCATCAAGAGGTTAGGGTCGGTCACCCTCAATTCAGAGTATTCTTCAACATAATTTTTTATATGTTCCAAAAGCATTTGAATGAAATTTGAATTTTCGTGCTGAAGCGCAGTCATAAAACTCTGGAGTTGTTCCATCATACTACTAATATGAGCTGTGATCACCAATTGTGGCGAACCAATGCTACTGTTATTGCTAGCACTAGCAATATCAGTACTGGTGAGTTGTAGAAAATCCATAGAAAGAACCACTGAATTTCCATCTTGGAGGTGAGAGTATTGATTATTTACTCCAAGAATGAATAGCTGCAATTTAATCTTCATGAGTTGGACAATTAGACATCCGAGGAAGAAGTAGAGAAGATCGATTTCAAATCCGCACTGAGTTTGCCTAGACAGGCTGCATCAGCCATCTCCAAATTTGAATTAGAATATGCATCATCTTTTCTCAATTTTGTAAGAATAAAGAAGATCAATTTCGAATCCCCACTGGGTTCGTCAGAACAAACTCTGACAAACTCAGCAACATGATAGCAAAGGAAGCACAAGAAAGTGGAGACTATATGAGACCAACATATGAAATTTCGAAGAAAAGGACCAAACCTGCTTATTGTATGAATTGTATACACAGTTCCAATACTTTAGATATTCTGGTGAGATAAGTTTTCCATCAATTCTCTCCACATGTTTAATCTAAGCCTTAGAATTGATTTCATATATTTTCAATTATTTATGGCTCATGCCTGCCTCTTTGATTTATGACTTTCCAATGAGTTACGAGGAAAGTTCCAACCCAACCCAAGAAAAGTATCGTATACGGTTAACAGTTCCGTCAATGATGGTCCTACTCTTTTAGTCTCTATTTATCAGTTAATGATAATTGTTTCAAAACTAAGAAAAAACATGATTATAATTAAACAAGGACGAAGGGAGCAATCACATCATTGACGGAGCAGTTGATTTGGATATGGTTTTTTTTCTTGGGTTGCATTGGATTTGAAATAGATGGTGCTGCCAAAAGTATGGAGATTTATAAGCTTTGCCTCAACTTCTGTTGGACTCATCTCTTATGCTCTAAGTTCTTCTTTCAACTATATCTTTCGATATTGGAATCTGTTGAATATTTTCCTTTACTGCCTTTTCAACTTCATCATCTGTTTTTGTGATTTTATTTGTAAAATTGTTACAACACTCCACAAGTCTTTCTGTGTAACGAATTTTTACTCCCTTGACACAACATGATGCATATTTTAACCCAAATTTGGAGATTAGTGTTGCAGCCAAAGGTGTGGAGACTCATTGGCTTTGCTACAGCCGTTGTTGGACTGCTATGTTATGCTCTAAGCTCTTCCTTCAACCATCTTTTTGGAAATTGGAATTTGTGGAAGATTATTCTGTATACTGTTTTCAGCTTCATCATCAGTCTCATGATTTTGTATGCAAATATATGGAAGTCATCTACAAGTCTCCGATTCAAAGCTCATGCAGCTTTCCTCGTATTGACAATCACTTCTGTCTATTCCTTTTTCTTTGATAAAGTAGTGAATGGGAAACCAGATGCATACAGTCTCATTTCATGTGCTTCCTTTGCGATCATGTCACTCAGTTTGTCGCGGCAAACTCATTGCGGAGTTGAAATTGATCTTCTCTACTTCTTCCTTGGATGTCTAATTGTGCAGCTCATGAAGATTAGCTTGCAGTTACTCATTCTTGGAGCAGGTTTCAGCTACTCCCTTATTATTCTTCGTTCTTCCTTCTCTTCAATAGATGATGCAATAGAAAATGAGTATTTTTACCTGCAAGATGAAAATTCAGTTGTCCTTAAATTGGATTCATTGCTACTGCAACAACTTAAAACTTGTATGACGGAAATTGAAGAGGAGAATTTGAATCTCATAGACAGGCTTATGGAGCTTGTGAAGGAATACAATCAAGATAAGAGTGAATTACATTTACTTGATAAGTGTGATTATGTAATGGATACTTTGTCATCAAGAAAGATCCATAATCTTAATGAAATTGTGAAGTTGATGATAGCAGCTGGTTATAAGAAAGAGTGCTATGATGTGTATAGTAGTTGGCGCAGGGTATTCTTGCAGGAGTGTCTCATAAACAAAATATTTGGTTTGCGAACTACAAACATCAATATTACCATGGATGAGTATGAGACAGAGCAATATTTAGATACCATGTTTGAGTATGAGACAGAGCAATATTTAGATACCGTGTTTGAAAGATGGATGACTGCTTTAGATGTAGCTGTGACAATCTTGTTTCCCATTGAACAGAAACTCTGCAATCGTGTCTTCTCGGGGTTTTCCTCTGCAGCTTTTAGTTGTTTCTCTGAGGTTTGCCACGAAGCAACGTCTCAGCTGCTGGGTTTTGCAGTTGCAGATGGGAACCCTACGATATGGCGTTTGTTCAAAATGCTTCGAATATTCGGGCATTTGGATAAGCATATTCCGAAATTTCAATCTCTTTTTCCAGATTCAACATTACTGAACGAAACAATTGCAGTTAGGAATAGACTAGGAGAAGCTAGCAAGGATCTTTTCATTGAAATGCATAATGTTATTATCAGAATCCCAACTGCACACGAAACTGTTC